TGCGCGAGCAGACCAGGACTCGTGGACATGGACTTACGCTGTTGAAACTTTCGTCCGTAGGATTACCTCTTCGGTTCCGGCTATCGCGAAGGGTAACCAATCTTTGGAACTCCCTTCCAGCTGACGTGGTGGACGAGGTCAATGATAAGATGCTCGAGAGGAAGCTCAACAGCGTCCTGCGAACAATGTGGTATGCAGATCTATCATGAATGAGATCTTCGAGTCTGTGGTGATGAGGCTCATACGGGAAATTACCCTCTGCCTCTAACTGAAGAACATTGAACATTGAACATGTTTGTTCAGGTGTCGTCTTCAGTGATAGTTTTCAGATCGGCGCACATGTATTGTGCAAATCAGTGCAGACGGATCGCGACGGTTGATATAAACTACTGATGAGTTGTTATACGAGCGAAATTCGAGTCTAGGGATTCCGAGTGTATTGTTGAATCTATGAACTGAGGACTGTATGTGAGGGGGAAGTCCGAAGGATAGTCAGTTCGAGTTAATGTATATCAATTATTCCACATCATTATTCACTAGTAACTGCGAGTTAAATGTGAATGTGAATGAATGTATGATTGGAAGAGTGAGAAGCATGGCTTTACACAATGTGTCCCTGGTCATTTCGCTGCATCTGTACACATGCACAGTGCACGCTGACCTCCTCCATTAAAACAAACTGCATTTATCAATTCAATTATGGATGCTCATCCATCTACATAGACAGGACAGAGAGGCTATTCCATCACCGTACGACCGATCACATCCCAGTGTGACTTTAGAAAACGATGGACGACAAGTTTGAATCCATTACGCCAACAAATGAGCAGAAAAGACTTAGATATCCGATAAAACAACACTTATTTGAACAGAACCATTGTGTCACTCCAACCCACGCATTACGGACCATCAAAAAAGTAGTTACTGAAAGTTGTCTAAACTCTAGCCATTCATACTCTCGAAATCGATCTGTGCAAACAACTTGAATCGTTAGTCACATTTGTTTTGCCTTGGTGGTGAACCTTCTAACGTTCTTCGTGTTAGTGTGTCGTGCTACCCGTTGAGATCAGCGATTATGTCTTCGGCTCACAGTTAGTATCTCACTTTCCATAAAATGATCACTATAACTGCAATATACATTTGTGAAGGTGTAGCAAAACGACTTCTGACTTCTACATTCAAATTTGTGAAGGAAAACAGTGTTTTCGGTGCTTGTAGAAGGTCAATGCATCAATAAGAGGTGAATATATCGCTTGAAAGTCTAGTTATAATAATACTTTCTTGTCACACCAATAGATACTGGTGGGAAGATTAAACTTTCTGCAGCTCAATGCCGCCCTGACAGTTCCGGTAATATTCAGGAAAAACCAGTCATTACCATCCGATAAAATTTCAGTCTTGGAATACAGCTCTCGAGCTTTGAAAACGTGATTGGAGACTTCTAATACGCAATCATCGAAACCATATTATCTTGCGTTCTGTTCCACAAAGTTAGAACACATGCAATCTGTACTGACCTTCCAGTCTAGGGTATTGTGAGACGCCATTCTCAAGGGCCTGCATAATTTGGGATCCGCTTGCCTGAAGCACGACCAACGGATCAAGCAACGGCAACAGGTTGATTAAATCCCTCAGTTTAAACTCGCCCGGTGGTATGATTCGATCCGCGCGCAGTGTGCCCGAATTGAGCATGGCCAGATCCGCATTGACCCCAGTCAAAATGATATCACAGATCAGATTGCCCACATTGGTCTCTTTCATCCGTATTGAGCCAAACCTGGCGTCCAACGGAACATCCACATTACCAATCACCAGGTCCAATTTTCGATCCAGTTTCTCGGTCAAAGTTTCCACGTAACTTGCCACCTGCGGGACAATGGGACAATCATGACAAGTTTGACGGTTACACAAAATAAAATATCTATTAAGTGGTCGCCATTTTTGTCACTATCATAAAACAAATTGATACGGCGAAAAAAGATATTATGCAACCAAAGAAGACAAACCAGAACCATAAAAACTGAAACACACCAGATTATACAGGACGAATTGGATTGACACCTGGGGCGAAATACCAATTACACTGTGCATCGTCCCACACGTATCTATCATCAAAAAAACATTTTTGAAAAAAACATTTCATCTAATGAACTATCATTTGACATACATTGGGGATTGCGATTTGAGCACTGTAGTGGACCGGATGATCGTTACGGTGATCCGGAGTTCATGAGTTTGAGTACCCCCATCCACCGCTACCTGAATTTCCCACTTCCATAAGCTCAAAGAAAGACTTTAACAAACCTTAGTCCCGTTTCACAAAATTGTCTTTATCGCAGTATATTCAACAAATAAGAAGGAATAACAAGATTATTGTATGACCGACAAGTGACTGATACGTTTGTCGCGCTTTCCTGTGTCCGGATTGATTGATTGATTGATTGGCTGAGCCATAGACCGGTATGTTGACTGTTTGAATGCAAGCTTGACGGCATTCGTGTGTCGTGTAACGCTTGAGCCGTTTGTTGGTCCACCTACCTGTCTTCCTTTGTGTTGCCCGCTTCCACTTGCACATCGGCTACATTTGTACCTACTCTAATAAACGTACTGCACAAATGACTGCGTATTTATTCACCTACTTAAACGGGACACAACAATTATTTTCAAAACAAATTGACTTTTAAACCTAAAGATTACAAGATGGAGTCTACAAACAACAATATACGAGTTTGAGGTTTTCTTTTGATCTTCTGCGAACGTAATTCCTAAAAATATACTTCACGAGCCTGTTCAAGCGTAAATTCCATGAAATAAGTATTTCATAAATCAAGGACTTAACATCTGAGTACTCAATAATTCGACAGTCTCTCTTACCTCGTATAACCAAATACACTTCTGTTCAGATCTCACAGGACCTTTTGGTTCATGGCCTTTGTTCCGCTTTCTAAAACTGTTATAGGTTCCCACTCACAGGGGACCGGTTTGCCAGCAGTTATTTTCGCCATCCTAGTCACTCCTTTGAGGTCCTTATCATCCCATTTTCGTACCGTCAGTTTTGGTCGTTCGCGAAGCCTTCTATAGTTTTGATTTGTAAATAATTCAATTGTGGGGACTTCCGGTCACGTAATCAGTTTGTCTTTGTTGAGCTCCGAGAAATCTGTGAACGCCAGCAATAGGCATAGTGTCCGCAGTTAAGTCTCCTCCACACAAAACCACGGTTCTCCTTTTTATCTTTTTTTACCTTTTTATTTTACTTCCTTTTATTGAACATGCAATGATAAAATTTTCAAGAAGGGAAAGCGGCCAATCAAAGGGCTGTCATTCTACACACAATGGGGTAATTCAGGAGGTGGTGGTGGGATTCGAACACACATCCCCGGGCCACCGCCGCCGGAACGTCTCAATGTGGCTTGAGGAGAGACTCAGATAATGTACACTGACTTCAAAGAATGAACCAGTTAAGGTTAGGAATACTCATTTATCATAACAAATTCCAGTACATTAAGGTGACTCTCTTCCTGGTGGCATTGCCCTCAGGCACACATGCCCGATCACCGTATTGTTTTCACTGCTCATCACTGTGAACTATAGCACATTCGGGCGTTTGTTCTAGTATACCTAGTCATCAGAAATCTGAGGATCTAGCCAATGCTTTGGAATTAGCTTCATCGAACAAAATGCAACTTCAATTAGGTCAGTGCCCCGTTGCACAGATCTGTCAAGTCAACAGGGCATAGACAGAGTAGTCGTCTTTGTAACCTGTGCGATTTTGGAAGCCGAGGTAACAACTACTGACAGTAACTACAGGCGCTTGCCTGGATGCGGGATGCCTCAATCAGTCAATCACGTGATGCGGTTCTGTATTCAATTGACATGCCTGAAAAACTTCCTACGCCGAGCTTAGTTCTCCCAAACATTTTATGTCGCACCTGCACCTAAGTGACATTAAAGCGTTAAAAACAGATTGCAACATCGGTCAAATAAGAGAAACCAGACATTAGGAACATCTGCCCGCACAACAGGATTCTATTTATCCAAGAGATCTATCATCATTGAATATGAATTAAATAATTCACACAATAAAACTTCATGGAATGATGCCATTAAACGCAAGTGAACGATTGGCAAAACTGTAATTGAATAAACATTAATCATTCATTGTGAATATGGACGTCAACGACTGAAATGGCAATCTGTCTCCTGGTATTTGAGCACCAGTTGTTGTTGTTGTGGAGAAATCGAGAAGTAATCAAACACAGGGGTTCAGGTTGATTGTATTGGTTCGGGTTGGTGAATCGTTAAACGGAACATTCAACCAGAATACTACTTCAATAACTATAGTTGACGGGATTCGGTTTCCCGGAAGCAATATGATTGTCTTGGTTAGGAAACTAATAAAAACAATCAGTGTGTGATATGATTGAAGTACCGGAGAGCCCTAAATCTGTAGTGCGGATTCGGCCCAAACGGATCCGGTTATCTATAATCACGATGCAAGAAACATTGGAACATTTTTGGTTGGAAATCTGAAGTGACAAGTGACAAGGTGTAGTTCACTGTGTGTACACCGAAAATTTTCCGGTATTGTTTTTTTCTTTTTCGTGACCTTACTACAAGCGATGTGCTCTGTGTATCGTGTCTCTTGGAACTATTGATGAACAGTGCTAAAGAAAACAACTAAATCCGCAGCGCTCAAGTACCCTAACAATGGTAATAGAATTAAAAAAACGAGAGAAGGCCACAAATTTGATGATATTAAGTATCGCCATTTCCCTATACAAAATTTAGCTCTCAAATAAGATGAAAACTGGAGGAGTTTCCTAGATACGAGGCATTTAAACCGCAGATAGTCCCAACGTGAAGCTACTTACCATGTGATTGGTTTATACGGAATCTCGTGGATACATGTTTTCCTGCTTTGAATACAAACAATGGAGAGCAGAAAATCGATTCAATAGGTTCTCTTTCAATTTGTTCCCAATCTAGTACGGTGGCGGTGCAGTAAAACGCTTAAGCTAGATTTAAGGTCAACTGTTCGAGAGAGGGGTTGAGAACGGCACTCGGAGAAAACTGCAAAAATGTGGGTCAGTTGGGCATGGGTATCGTGAACGGTATTTTACGGAACACGAATTTCGATCGATTCATTCGCCCGATGTTTTCTTTTGACCTTTTCCATTTGCGCACCTTCAAACAGAAAGATTGTGCTGGAACCGAGATAGAGCCCCGTGAAAGCACATTCCCACTAATTGGACAAAGATGGCACCAGTCAAAGTTGATGTCGGACTGATTTCATGCAGACCGCGATGAACCGGACCAGTAAGACTAA